CTCTGAGCTCCCCACACTCCCTGTCCACCTGCTGCAGCTCTCAGGGCACACTCAGGGGGCGGGACGGGCTAATGACAGAAAGGGGCTCCCTGAACCCAGCGACCACCCTTGGCACCCATCCCACCCACTGCGTGGGTCACGGTGCTGCTGCGATCGCCTGGCTCCTCTCCAGGCTGGTGGAAGCCGGGCCCTGGGCGCGACTTGAGCTCCAGCGCCCCAGGTCACACAGCACTGGGTCTGGCACAGTCTCCGCAGGGGAATCTGAGTTTTGTTTGGGGTGGGGGTGAGGGGAAGCATTAACAAAGCCTGGATTTCTGGGGCCACCTGAGGAACAGTCATCAAACAGGTGGCTGGTGTTTGTTTTTTCATACGAAGCTGAGCATTCAAGGCGGGGACCGTGAAACAGGCATGGGCTTGGAAGCGGGCAGACCTGAGCTGGGGCCCTGGCTTGTGACCCAGGACAAGTGACCTGTGACCCACTTCTTGGTCCCAAAGGAGAGGAAGCAGGTACGTCCCAGAGCTGTCTCGGGGATGATGGCAGATTGCGCTCAGGCGTCTCCGGGGCAGCCTGTGTGACAGGCGCTGCAGCGGATATGGTGGGGGTCGGGATCCCCGATCCCCGTGTCCTTGAGACAGTATCCAGAATCCTCGGAGATGCTGCCGAGAGCAAGCATCCCAGCAAAACTGCTCCCAGGCGCTGGGCTAAGTGCCTTCTCGCATTATCTTCCCAGGCATCCCGAAAGGCAGGTGCAGTTCATGTCTCACTGCACAGAAGAGGAAGAGGAAGCCCAGGCTGAGACGTGAAGCAAAGCACGCAAGGTCCCATGGCCAGCAAGGGGCAGGTGAACTCCGACCCCAAGCATCACTGATTCTAGCCATTGAGACAACTGGCCTCCCAAGAGCATGCGGGGAGCCCCACATTCTGTGATCAACTGCTCTGCCCACACACACTTTCCCTACTTTCTTTAATTGATCCAAACCTGCCTACCCGCCCCCCGTGCTGCTGCGACAGCAACAGTTTGATGCCTGTTCCTCAGGTGGCCCCAGAAATCCAGGAGGAGCTGCCTCCTCCAGGAAAACTGCCCTGGTTAACCCCAGCAATGAGGTAGTTCCATCCTGGCTACCCAGGGAAGAGTCCTAGGATTTTCTGGCGGTTCAGATGCCCAGTTTCCCAGCCTTGGAAGAGTCCAGCAGTCATTAGATGTTGGGCCTCAGTCACCAGCGGGGCGGGGGTCTCTCCAGTTAAATGGGAGAACCCGGCTGGGTGCTGTATAGTCACTTGAAGCATAAACTGGCCCCTGGGCAGGTGGGGTAACTGTGGCACAGAGAGCTCGAGTAACTTACCGAAGGTCACACAGCTGGCCCGTGACAGTCCAGACCCTTAGCCACGGGGCTCCCTTCCTTATAGGATGGGGGAGAGTCCAGGAGGTTTCTGTGTGAGCTGAGAAAGAACTGTTTTAATAAATCAGGGGTAAAGATTCCCAGGATTTCTCTTAGCCTTAGAGACGCCCTGTTTGGAGTGGGAATATTTCATATTTCAAACGTTCTTGGAAGTACAACCAAGATCTGTCGGAACCCAGTCTGGCACTGCCCTGCCAGCAGCCCCGAGCCCTCCAACCACACCTCCTGAGCTGCTGCTGACAGTCTGTATGTGGTCAGAGTTAGGGGCTCATGCTCAACAGAACTATTTTGGTTAGAGAATCAAGCCCGTTTTGGCTGCAAAGCCCCCCAACAACACACAGCCAGGAGCAGCAGGGTCACGTGAAACCACACAGCTGTCCCCTGCCCTGTGTCTCCAGCCCAGGGACAGACCTCGGCGATCCCAGCACATCCGGCTGCGGCCGGGCCCCTCTGAGCCAGAGCGAAGCTGTCACCTTTCATTCATGGAAGACCCAACTAAAACGCAATCGCTTAGGCGGGAAGCAACACGTCTCCCTCGGCCGCAAACAGCACTGTGTTTGAGATGGCACACGCCAAGGGGAGGCCCGGACCCAATGTGACCAGAGCGCTCTGAGCCCCCACCTTGTGGCAACCAGCCCTGGCTGCCAACTACAGCCTCTGCAGCCACTGGCCCAGAACCTTCTGAACACCTGCCTCTGCGCTGCCTCTGCCACCCCTCAGGACCAGCCAGAAGAAGCCAGTTACGCTCCCGAACCCAGTACGCATGGCCCCCATGGCCTGTTAGCCGCCACCAGCTTCCCCAGGCCACCCAGCAACCCTCAGCAGACCTGAGCCCCCAACTCTCTATGAAGAGCCCCCCCACTCCACCCTCGCCTTCGCGTCTCCACCAGACACAGTGATGACGGCTGCTCCAAGCAGCTACCCCGTGTGTGTGCTCTTGTGAATGATCTTTCATTTCCCTCATTTCAGGGTAATTTTCTCTGGCCATAAATAAAGTATTAATGCCTAACAGCATTCTAGAAAGGCACGAAGACAAGAAACTGCACACTGGACAGATGGCGATCAGTCCAGAGCCAGGCAAGCGAAACAGCCGGAAGAGTGGGGAGAGCAGGATTCGTGGATGCCCCTATGTGGCCACACCCCGATCCCACTACTTCCCACTTCAGGACTTTGCCCGCGAGCCCCTGGGCCCCCCGACTCTGTGACACTATGCAGGGTGCCTGTGATGATACACGGAGAGGACACAGATAAAGGCTTCACACAGAGCCAGCACAGGCACAGGGAAAATTAAAATGTAGGAATTAATAGTGTCAATTACAGTAACCGCATCCGCAAGGGCATCAATTACACAGTAAGTCAGCATCAACAAAGTGCGGAGAACAAAGTAGCTAATTCACTCAACGATGACAACGCTGCTGGAGGGGCGGCTTCCTGTTCTGTGGGACTCAGATCCATTCTACCTCCTGTCACGTGCTGACTGAGTGGGTGACCTCTGCCTTCAGAGATTAAAATCTAGCCCCTCTTTTTGGCACTGCACCCCCTTCTTTCCAACACTATGGCAGGAGTTTCAAAAGCAAATGCCCAGAGAAGCCAGAGGGATCACAGAACTTCAGTTGGCCAGGCGCGAGACAACGGGTAGTGGTGGGAACCGGGGAGAACTAGACCATGTGTGAAGCACCTCAGGAGGGAAGCCACTTCTTCAACTTCAGTCAATTGTCACCACGTTGCCAGATCTTCAAAACTTTCCAAGAAAACGGTATGTGAAATCTCCCTATTGCTAGAGGTATCTTAAGGAATGCCATGTGAACCTGAAAAAAACACCTGTGGGCTAGATTTAGCTGGAGCCACCCGTTTGCAAACTCTAGGCTGGATGTTCTTCCTTTGGGACAGTACCAAGGCCCCATAACTAAAGTTTAGACAACGATGTGGGAACATTCCTTTGGCTAAACAGCCTCCTCTTCATGTCCCCCCCCCACACCTGCCCCAGGAGCTCCAGAGCCCACATAAGGATCTAAAATCTTAGGGGCTCCCCAAAGGGAGGAGGCCCTGAAGGGCTGAAATCTCACAACCCGGGGGGGGCAGCTGTTACCTGTGTGCTTCCAAAACCTTCCTGAAAGGAAAGCGCTGGGACCCCACAGCCTGAAACACAGCTCCGGGAGCAGATTCTTCCGACGCTGGGCTCCTGACAGAACTACCTGGGAAGCGCCGAGACACCATGGCCGGGGCGGGACTGAGCGGTGCGCGTGTGCAGGCGGGGCTGAGCTCAGAGACGGTGTCTCCACCGGGATAAACACGAGGTAACGGGTCTCTAACGAGGTCGCCCGCTGGAGGCAGCACCCTCCTCTGTGGGGTTGTACCGTCGGGCACAGCCAAGTCGCCTGTCACAGCCCCCCCTTCTCTCTTGGGGGATGTCTCAAGAATCCCCACTTTCCTCCTCCAAACCTGCAGGTCTGCGCATCAGCTCACCGTGGCCAGCAGAATCAGAAGCCCTGACTGCTGACGCCTTCTGTGGCCAAAAGGCCTCTGCAGATAAGACCAGGTGAAGGGCTGGAGGCGAGCACGTGGGCCTGCAGCATCCGAGTGAGCTCAGAGCCATCCCAGGCCCTTCTGAGAGGAAGGCAGGTCAGGGTCATGGCGGACGGGACACCAGGAGCACAGTCTGGCCGCACTGCCCTGGGGGGGACCACCTGCTCCTTCCTTTGCGTGGGGGCCTCCTGTGATCTGCTGATAGGGGGCGCCAGCAGGGCTAGGAGGAAGGCACGGGGATAGGGGGGCGTTCCCTTTTCCCTGGGCCCCTGTTTGCTTCCTGCTTCCATCAGTCCAGGCCTTGGCCCTTCCCACCAGCTCATCCCAGTGAATCAGCCAGGCCCTCCCCTGCAGTCGCTGCCTGCCCAGTACCTCGGGCTGTCTGCCTGCCTCTCGGGAGCCCACCGAGCCACCTCCACACCTGGCTCGGGGGTCCTCACAGGAACGCCTGCCCTTCGCTCAGGGCCTGGCCTCACCCAGGCGGTGGGCAAGCTGATTCCTGGAAGCCGCAGCTTGCAGCAGGGCTCCAGTAAGGACAGCAGGCCCTCCGCCCACCCAGCAGGGCCATTCTCCCTCACCAACATCGTCCAGGGGCCTGGTGGCCCAGCAGGACTGGACTCTGTTCAAGCTGCTGTTTCTCTCGCCCCAGATGCCGGCTTTCCAGGCCCAGCTAAAGACGAGGCGCTCAGCCCTTCCAACTCGGCGCTCCTCCTGGGCCCTCAGACGCGGTCACTCCAGCTCAAGCCTGCACTTGGCCGTCCACGCAAGAAGGCCGGCACACTGGCCACAGGCCAAGGACAGCCCACTGCCTGTTTCTAAATAAAGTTTTATGGGAACACGGCGTCAGCACTCGCCCATGGGCCAGCACTCCAGGGGCAGGGCTGGGGGCCCGAGAGGCCAGAGGACCACAAAGCCCGAGACCGTCCCAGAGAAGCTTCCCGCGCTCCAGCCTTGAGTTTGGTGTGCAAACAGCTCACGTGGGAGGTTTCCCCACCCCCGGACTCGCGGCCAACCTGCTGACCGTGCACCCGGGGTCGCGAGTGGACCCCCAGCCTGGCCGGCAAGCCCCTTACCTGAGAGTGAAGTGGTCCGCCACGGAGCCACTGGTCAGGGACACCAGGAAGGTGGCCGCGTCCCCCTCGTGGACCAGGTTCAGGGGCACGGAGATGGCCACGTTCCGGTCCAGGCTCAGCAGGGACCAGCGCAGGTCGTCCTGCGTGGGGTAGACCACCACGCTCCCGATGCGCTCCCGGGCCGGCACGGCGGGCTGCGGGCCCTCGGGGCCGGCGTGGATGTTGTTCTCCCACTTGGCATCCTCCTCCAGGGGACACTGGCCGGCCTGGTCTGCCGGGTACACGGCGAAGAAGAGCTCCATGGCCGTGCCCCCCAGCAGGGCTGGGATCTCCTCCTCGGGCTCCAGGTCCAGCCCGGAGCTGAACCACTCGGGCAGCAGCTCCAGCTCGGCCACGCACAGCCCCGGGGCACCCTGCAGCCGGCAGCTGGCCGCCACCTCCCTGGCCTCGGGGAACGCGAACATCCTGACGCAGGGGAGGCTCTGGGCGGCGTCGCTGTCCTCCCAGTCCATCCCGGTGATATAAAACAAGGTCTGCACCTTGGGGCGGTTGGAGTAGATGGAGCTGTCGAGGATGTGGGCCTTCAGTTTCCAGTTGAAGGGAAACTTCTCCATCTTCCCAAAGGGTGTGGACGCCAGCAGAAGCTCCTCGGGGATGACCTGCTCAGCGGCGAAGGGGCCGTAGGTGGCGTTGACCGTCGGGGGGGTCCGGGCCCGGTAGACGAAGAAGGACTCGACCCGGGCTTGCAGGCTGGAGTTCCTCGTGAGGTCCTGGTTGGCCTCTCTCAGGAAGAAGGCCTCCTCGGCGTCGGAGACGTGCAGGCTGGCGGGGAGGTAGGCGGGGAGCGAGGAGAACCGCTGCAGGCTGTCCGCCACCCCGCGGCCCTCCATGCCTGCAGGGGAAGGAAGCAGAGGCCGAGTGAAAGCCACGTCCTGCCGGCCCCCACCACGGGAAACCAGCTCCCACGCCCTGCTGACCCGCCTGGCAGGGGTCCCGTAACCCCAGAAACGGTGCTCTCGGGACCGGTCACAGGCGCCCACTGACACTGAGCCCGTCGTCACCCTGTTGCCTCCGCTTGTTCGTGCAGAGCCCCACTCCCAGGAGGTCTCGGGGCGCTGTGCTCTAGCTCCCGGGGTGCGCAGGTGGCTCACCACTGTGCCCAGCACTGCACCCTCCTCTGTGACCCCTGGCATCTTACAACTCGGTGGTGCTGCTTCTCGCCATCACTCCTCTATGCAGCAGCCACCTGGCAGCCACCTGGGCATTTAAACATTTCCATAAATCAATGAAATGAGGTGGCGTGGGGCTCAGCGGCCGCACCCCCAGGCCCTCCTTCCGAAGCACCAGCGACGATGCGGAGGCTGTCACGAGGTGGGTCCCTGCGGCCACGCTGAATCACACGCAGCCCCAAGGGTGAAAGTGCTGAAGCGGGTGCCTTGGTTTGAACCCCAGCTCCGCCACCTGCCTGCTGGACACCCCGAGCAGGTGCCTAACCTCCCTGTGTCTCGAGTGTCCGCAGCTGAAGGAGTATGTAGCTGCGCGTCTGCCTCCCGGGGCCGCTGCAGGGATGGAGGGAGAACGAACAGGAGCGCGTGGAACAGCGCTGGTCCACCAATGCTCGAGCCATCGTCATTTATTAGCTTAATGCACGCTAAAGGCTTGTTAATCAGAGGAGATGTAAATGATACATCTTTGCAGCAGAGTGACAGGCAGAGCTCTGCAGACATAACCGAAAAGACATCAACCGTGTGACATCCGTGACTCGTGAAGAATTAAAAACCACGCACGGCTCCGCTCTAGCCCTGGGGGTAGATTGTGCGTGTCGTGCGGAAGTGTGGACACAGCATGTGCGTGTCTGGTGAACCCAGAAAAAAACTATTTTCCCGCTTTCTACTTTCTTCAAATTCGTTACAATCACATATTACTTGGTTAACAGAGGCAGATACACACCCACGCTCGTGCCCGTGTTTCTGTTGCTCATATATGGGGGGGGGGGTTCTTTCAAATGGGGAGACACAGAGCAAAGACCCCACAAGCTTTTCAAGCTGAAGCCTGAACCAGGGCCACAATGCGGGTACCAACTGGGATGCGCCCCCCGGGGAGCCGGCTCCCCAGAAGCCCCAGGAGCCCTGGAGCCGGCCGGTGCCCGCGGGAGAAAGGCTCCCACCGCCCACCCCATCGGCTCTGGCTCCCGAGAATTTCTTTTCCTCAGCTGGTGGAAATTCTGAGGGATGGAGCTTTCCATTGATTTCAGCAGGCTCTGGCCTTTTCCGGGCTGCCCAGGCTGAGCGCTCCTTCCGCAGAGGAAGACAGGATTGTAACGAGGAGGTGAAGAGAGACACGAGCACGTCGGGCGACGCAGACTTCACTCAAGGTGCCCCCAGGCGAGTCCCCCCAGCTACTCCATGATCTCACCTGCACGCGGGTCTGAAACTGCCGGGCGCAGGCGCGGGGAGCAGGACAGTGGCGGCCAGCGCGGGGGAGGAGGGGGAAGCAGGTGATGCTGGTCAAGGGCACAAGGAATCAGTCCCGAGATGAATCATGTCTGGAGGCGCCATTAGGGGCCAGACCTTACGTGAAGCCGTCGGAGCACACGCTACAGGACCCGGGCAAGCGGGACGGGCTGACGAGCACGTCTGTGCAGACCGCTCCACAGCCCACACGGTCATCAGACATCAGCCCGTCAAGTGCATCCGCTTTTCAATATGCCAAGGATAGCCCCGCGCTGCGCGCACACAACGGCGCGTCGCCCGGCCCGCGTGGAGAGCCCGCTCCCGTGCGGGGCGGTCCCTGGAGGGCGCAGGTGGCATCCCTCCTCCTCCGGCGGCGTCTCACTAGCCACCCGCCCGCTCGGCCCCACGGGCGCCACGCCGGGACAGCGCGGGGACGCGGCGCGTCTGCCCAGGAGCTGGCACAGAACCGGGGCCCAGCCGCCTGTCCCACAACGTGCCTCCTCGGAATCCCTTCCCAGGAATAATCAGGAGTCCGGGAAGGAGACAGATGGCAGTGGGCCCAGCACCAGCGTGATGGTTGACAGCAACACCCGGGCCACCGCAAGCCCACCCTCGGAAGGCACTGGGCGAGTCTGAGGGCGAGCCGGGCCGCGCGTGTGACAGCGAAGCGGGGCCGAGCCACACTCTCAGCGTGTGGCATCATGAGAAAAGGCTGCCCACGTGGTCAGTGGAGAAGCAGACATGACAGCTGCATTCGGCTTCGCCCAAGCTGGGTTTTCAATCCATCGCGCGGCTCTAGGTAAGGCGCACGCGTACATAAGCCTGAGGCCACCCAAGCTCGCCCGCAGCATCTTCCCGCTGACCACGAGACCTTGGCTCCGCTCCCATCGGCAGCCTCGGCGGGGTTTGCTCCAAGGCAGAGGAGGAGACGTGACTGAAGAGTCAGCCTCGTCTGGGCAGGAATTTGAGCTGTTGCCGCCTCCAAGGGGCAATTTGTATTTTGGCAATGTCGGGCAGCGCCGCAGTGCCCTGTGAGCTCCAAACTCGCTTTGGGGAGGTGGGTTCCCCTCTCCAGGAAGTTCAATCCCAGGGGACTTCGCCCCTGCATTAAGTGGCACGAGGACAGAGCGCAGGGAGCGCTGCCTCGCCCGGCACGAGTGTCCTTCAGTGGGCCAAGGCGCACGGCGGCCGGGTTTGGAAAAGGAGCTCAAACCCACCCTCTCGTAAATGTAGGGGAAGCTCAAGGCCAAGTGTAAATTCTGATTTTTTTCCCCAACGTGGAAAAGGAAATTAAAATTAATGCAAACTATAAGATGCTGTTTTCTTTGCAAAGTGATTTGGTGTTTTTTTCTCCTTATCATTTATGTCAATATTGTAAACCTGTCCAAGAAATTGATTTACAAGAAATTTAAAGCTGTGCCTTCTCTCTTCTTTACGGTGGCCAAAGCCTCCGTTTTATCTAAAATAACAGTGTGGAGTTTGCGATCCCGCCCCACCATCACTCAAGCACAAGGCAATACAAATCTCGTCTGAAAGCTTAGTCATAAATATCTGCCTCCAGGGCCTCACCCAGACCTCGAGCCGACACTGTGCCTGAATCCAGGAGCGCTTGGGGAAGTCCTGGGCCGCATGCCCAGACAGACATCCCCAGCCTGGGACACCAGCACCACCTCCCTTCAACCCCAAGTGTCCCACGAGGGCCCCACCCCGCTCCCCTGACAGGTGGGCCAGACAGCCCCGTTCTGAATGTGCCATGAGGCCTCAGTCTGCTGATTTCCTAGGGGGCTCTTTACTGCTGAGCTGGCCTGGCAGACCTGGCTGGAAGCTGGCGTGAGGAGGCCGGGCCAGGCCTGGCTGAGGAGCACTTCCCACGGGAGTCCAGGATGAGACGGCATAGGCAGATGAGCACCCCGACAGCACACGGCTCCAGGGCCCCCACCCCGAGACTCAGGAGGAATGAGTGTCCTCCCAGATCAGGGAGACTGGGACTCACCATCTTGGGGCGATGGCATGGCTCTGCAAGGCACCCTGGTCAGGTTGGGGAGGATCGGGGACCAGAGCCCTAAGATCGTGCAGCAAGAGCCTCTGAATACCCCGCTGGCCTTGCCAGGAGCAAGCCTCCAGTTTTGTGGCCCGGTCACCACGGGCAGCTAAAGGCAGGTGACCTTTGCCTAGTGCACACAAGACAGCCGAGGCTCAGACCCCGGAGGCTCCCTTCCCCGTGGCCAGCAGGCAGCAGGCAGCCCTAGAAAGCCGTCCACAAGGAGGGTGATCCTTCAGCGGGTGCCCAAGAGCCGCAGGACGCGGAGCTCCAGGAGGCCTTGCCAGCCCCCCCACCCCACCGGGACGTACCTCTGGACACAGGCGCAGGTTGGAGACCCTGCTGTCTCCTCCACCTGGCGTTCTCCCCTCAATGCCCACGACACACTCGGGACGTCTCCTCGGCTTTGTCCTCGCACTCAGCCTGGCTGGGGAGTCCGTCACCCGCTGAGTGGAGCCGGCTCCTTCCTTGGGGACCTCTGAGCCCAGGGAGGCTTCTCTGACCAGTGCCCCCAACCCCGAGCCCTCCTCTCCACAGCCCAGGGAACCAGAGGCCCCAAGCGCCCGTGCTCCCGGCTTCTGGGCGAGTGTCCTCAGCGTGAGGCCCTGGTGGAAGACAGGGTGGAGGAGGGGAGAACCAGGGCACACCCCCCACGGTGCAGCATCCCTGGCTGAGACCACGCTCCTCTGTGACTCCAGCCCGACAGCCCCACCGTGGCGGCGGCTCCCTACAGACAGCAGCGCGAACCTCCTGGGGGCCCAGCCAGGTCCAATCTCCCCTCATTCGTCCCTCTGGCCTCATGCTTTACCATGCCCAGATCGTGCCTCACCTGAGTAACTAATTCCCTTTAGTGATCTCCCTCTGTTGAAATACCTAGAGTTATTTCCATTTTCTTGGGTAAAGTCTAATACATACACCAGTGAGAATGGCTCATATTTAAAAAACCATCAACAACAAATGCTGGCGAGGGTGTGGAGAGAAAGGAACTCTCCTGCACGGCTGGTGGGAGAGCAAACTGGTCCAACCACCATGGAGAGCTGTGGAGGTTCTTCAGCCTACTAAAGATGGAGCTTCCATAGGATCCAGCAATTCCGCTCCTGGGTATTTACCCAAAGGACACAGAAACATCCATTCCAAAGGGCACCTGCACCCCTATGTTTATAGCAGCACTGTTGACAATAGCTAAGCTTTGGAAACAGCCCAAATGCCCAAAAATAGATGACTGGATCAAGAAGATGTGGTCCATATACACCATGGAATATTACTCAGCAATCAAAAAAGATAAACACATGCAGTTTGCAGCAACATGGATGGAGCTGGCAGGGATCATGCTCAGCAAAATAAGCCAGAAAGAAAAAGAAAAATACCGGATGGTTTCACTTATAAGAGGAATGCAGA